GCATAACCACCCATCATTGTTTGTCTTTTTCCTCCCCCCCCACCAACCCCCCTTTCCCTCCTGCCTTTTGTTACATTGGTGTAAAAAATGTAAAACAAAAATTTATTAAATACTGTGGTGTGTGAAAGAGGAAGAACTGGAAAAAAAAAGAGGAAAAAAAAAAAAATTAAAAAAAAAACCCCAACTCTATTCCACGTATGTTTGGGGGCTGGGGCTGGGGGCTTGGCTGGTGGGAGGGAGGGACGAGAGGCTGTTCCTCGGGGTTGTTTTAGATTTGACCCAAACCCCACTTGGAAAGAGAAGGTTGATTTTAGGAGACCTGCTGAAAAGTTCTGCTCTTCTATAGCCTGGTTCCGGGGCGCTTTTCTGTCAATTTTTATGGAATGCAAAAAAAAAGAAAAAAAAGAATAAAAAAATAAGGGGGTTTTGTTTTGGTTTATTTTTTGGTTTTTTTTGTAAAGCTTAAATTGAATCTACATCTGATACTTGAGCCTCCATACTAAAAAAAAAAAAAAAAAAAAAAAAAAAAAATTAAAATAAAAAAAAATAAAAAAAACCAATCCCAGGAAGCAGTGTGTGTGCTGTTGGTGTCCTCCTTATTTCTCCTCTTCCTGCAGAGGTGCTGGGCTTCGTGCTGTTGGTGCAACTGGGAGCAGGGAGTTGTGCGCTCGGAAACGAAGGCTGATGCTGGATTACGTGGGCATGGAAAGCCAGAAAGTTGGATTTATTTATTTGTTGTGTCTTTTTCCTCTCCCATCGAGGTTAGTTGTCTTATTTTTGAGGGTGTGATGTTCGGCTGGGGGTTCCATGTGGGACTTCCCAGGTGCTGGGACTGGGATGGTGGGATCCCACCACTGGGAAGCGATGCTTTGGGCACCCAGGAGATGTCTTTAGAGGAGAAGGATTGGTCCAGCTTTATTGGGTGTGTAAAAAATTGTCTGGGGGGGGTGGAATCTGTGTAGGAACCCCCTGGTGGGCAGAGCAGGGGTGGTTTGGTTTGGTTTGGTTTGGTTTGGTTTGATTCTCAGCAGTTTGAGGTAGATGGTTCCGAGCATCGATGCTCACCCAAAAACTCCTCCTCTGCTTGGTCCCCGTGTGATTTGTGACTCTCACCCACGTTTTCCCCCTTGATGCTTGGAGGGACCACGCGCAGCTTCAGCTCCTCCACATCCTTCAGTTATAACAAACTGGATCCTGGTGGAGCCAAGATAGCAAATTCCTTGGGGCTCTTCCTGCCCGTGGAATTAGCCTTGGGGTGGACCTGTGCAAATTGAGACTCTTGGAATGAACATTGATTAATGATGGGCTCCAATTTTTCTTTTCTGATGTGACCTGTTTCACACCTCAGACCTGCAGGTGGTGATGGTCCCGGGCTGGAGCATTTTCCAGGGCTGTGGGGCAGCTCGTGGGACACGGGCTGGGGGTGGGACACATGTGTGTGTGTGTGTGTGTGTGTCTCAGAGCTGGGATCCCCAGGGGGAACACGTGGAGAATTCGTCATCGTTGTCTCATGGTTCTGTCCAAGTGTCCTCGGTTTGAACAGCACGGGATTCATTTCTCCTTCAGTCATTTTACTTTTCAGTGCGGTCTTGTCCTGGTTTGAACCACACGGGACTGATTTCTCTTCTAACGCTGGGGAAAAGTGCACTTTTAGAAGACTCTGGTGCCTGGATTGGTGAAAATCTTCACTTTACAGCCAGCTCTGGGGTGTGGGATTCAAGGTCTTGGTGGTTTTGAGCTCCCCAGGTGCGGGGACGAGGAGGAGCGAGACCCGGGCGCTTGACCCAAGCTGCCAACAGGGTTATTTCATACTGTGAACGGCACATTTAATATAAATTACTAAGTTTGCTGAGAAGTTCTCTCTCTCCCTTGATGGTGATGGGGCAGAGAACTCCTTGCCCTGAGCCCTTCCCTTCCTCCCGAAGCCGCAGCACCCACAGGGTCCCCCATGGGCTGTCCCTGCTGGGAGGGCACAGCTTCCTGGGATGGAATGGGCTGGGGATAGTCCTGGTGTGTTTTATATTGGTATTGGGATCAATACTGGTTCTTTAGCATTATTAATTATTTAGTATTATTCCATTAGATGTCATTAACGTTAATTATTTAGTAGGGGTACTAAGGGGTACAATCTGTAGGGGTACTAAGGGTCATGGGGTGATAGAATAATTGTCTAAATGACAATCAACTGGCTGCTGGCACCAACTTCCACATATATATATATATATTTTTATACCTTCTATATTAGAGGTTGTGCTTCTGGCTTGAAGAACAGCTCTTGGCCAGCCGGTACGTGGCAGTGATCTGGTGTCCTGCCTCTTTGTTTCCATGAGATGGAGGTGCCACATCCCATCCCATCCCCCTCCCGTAGGTCAGCTCAGGAAATCCAGCTCCCCCAAACCAGCCCTGGCTCCCCCAGCGCAAACGGGAGCCGAGGTTGGAATATATTAATTAAACCAAGCACCCGGGGTCTTTATCTGGAATAAAGAGGTCTAAGGAAGCTGGGTTTTCTTATCTCCCTAGGAATCTGCTGCTGGTTGGTATCAGCACTGGATGGGAACTGTTTTTCTGCAATTCCTCAGGGAATTGCTGGCTCCAGGACGGGGAAGGGACAAGCAGCCCCATCACCTGCTGGCCTGGAGGGGAAGAATTGGGAATTAATGGTGTGAAAAACCCAGCAGCTTTTCTCCAGGGGCTCAAAGAGCCTGAAAAACAATTTTTTTTTCTTTCCAAACCCAAACGGGTCAGCTCCAGACACTGGCACAGCCGCTGTTTTAATGAACCTGCTCCTGCAGCTTGATGGGTGTTGGGTGGGCTGAGTCCCTTTCCATGGGGGATGGAGGCTGAGCCGTGGCTTGGCTTCCTCGTGGTGAGGAGGGTGAGTTCCTCGGGAAGGACAATGTCATGGGGACGGCTGAGGAATCGTAAATTAATGACAATACAGCTAAATTGATAAAGGCACAGGGGGCAGGGAGTGGATATGGGGAAAGTGGCTGGAGCTGCCTGGCAGAGAAGGACCTGGGGGTGTTGGTCAACTGTTGGCTGAACAGGAGCCAGCAGTGTGCCCAGGTGGCCAAGAAAGCCACCAGCATCCTGGCCTGTGTCAGGAACAGCATGGGGAGTAGGGCCCGAGAGGTGATTGTCCCCCTGTACTGGGCACTGGTGAGGCCCCACCTCAAGGGCTGTGTCCAGTTTTGGGCTCCCTACCACAAAAATGACATTGAGGGGCTGGAGCGGGTCCAGAGAAGGGCAACAAAGATGGTGAGGGGTCTGGAGCACAAGTCTGATGAGGAGAGGCTGAGGGAGCTGGGGTTATTCAGCCTGGAGAAGAGGAGGCTGAGGGGAGACCTTCTTGCTCTCTCCAACTCCCTGAAAGGAGGGTGTAGAGAGGTGGGGGTCGGTCTCTTCTCCCAAGTCACAGGCGACAGGACAAGAGGAAATGGCCTCAAGTTACACCAGGGGAGGTTCAGGCTGGATACTGGGAAAAGTTTTTTCACTGAAAGGGTTC